AGCGGGGCTACAAGAGGCAGTTCTGAGGGGGTAGGGGGGCAAGAGTTGAGCAGCCCTTGGGTCCGGGTCGAAGGAGAAGTGGGCGGGGCATAGGGGGGCAAGAGTTGAGCAGCCCCTGGGTCCGGGCCGAAGGAGAAGTGGGAGGGGCATAGGGGGGAGAGGAGAGGGGAGGAGGGGAGGGGAGAAGGAAGGGGTAACCAGGGGAGGGGATCCATAAGAGAAAGAGGGGAGGTAGGTGAGAAAATGGTGGGCCTGGACGGAGGTAAAAAGGGGGTAATTCAAAGGAGAGGGGGAAGGCAAGGCAAAATGCAGGGTGCAAACCCTACAATTATGGACCAAGTGGGGGGTATAAGAGAGGTGAGGGGCTTGCAAGGAGGAGATTAAAGCTGGGTTTGGGGGATAGTGGTCCATGGAGTGAACCGCTACAATGCCATAGGGGTGTAGGTGCCTGTCCATTTTTTTCACTTTGAGTTGGTCGCCCGATTGAGCTGGCTCAAAGAGTTCTAGGTTGAGGGGGAGGAAAGTTAGGGAGAAAGGGGGGGGGAAGGGGGGGGGGGGGAGGGAGGGGAGCTAGTAAAGGACAAGGGTTGCAAGGCCAAAAGATAAAGGTTTAAAGAAGTGGAAGAGGAAGAGGGATACAGGGGCCAGAGGAGAGGGTTCTAGGTCAGGGTTCGTCGAGGGTGGGGAGGTAGTAGAGAGGGCTTCAGGGTTTAAGGGGTAAGGGAGAAAGTCTGGAGAATGGTAGCCTAGGGGGGAGAGAGACTTGGGGATGATTCTTCGTGAGGCGACAGGTGGGAAGGGGAAGGTAGAGGGGGCAGTTGATTCGACTGGAACGGCGACGAGGAGACGATGGGGTTGGGCCAGAAAGGGTTTTAAGAAAAGGATGGAATGGGCGATGGGGACAGGTGTGTCGGAATGGGCGGCGCTGGCGACAGGTGGTCTAGGAGGGCTAGCAAAGGTGGCAGGTGTGTCGGGAGGGTCGGCTGAGGAAGACACGTGGCGGGCTGAATTGAAAGGGGGCAGAGAGGGATTAAAGTGAAGGGCTCGGGTGTTGAGGATGTGAGCGGGAAAGTGGGAAGGTTCGAGAAAGACGGGCCAGGTCTCTCATGTTGATCTGGAGATAGAGACGAGGGAGAAGAGTCCACCAAAGCCTCCTTCCTGGGTCAGCGAGGGTGGGAAGGAGAAACTGTAGGGGATGACAGTGATGGGCCGGTGCGATCGTCACCTTTGGGGTTTGAGCCTGTCAAGAGCAACAGGGTCGTAGGCTACTTTGCCGGTGCGGTTGCTCACCCCCTCTGCTCGGACTGATTGAGGGAGTTGACACATGGGCACCAACTGGGGGCCCGTTGTGGAGGGGGGGGGGGGGGTGGTGTGGTGTCCTTGGTGGCGCGCTCTTAGGGGGGCCGGGTCCGGTGGTCGCTGGCGGCGCCTCTTGCATTAGCGAGCTTTCCTCGACCCTGTGATCCAAGGCTGAGGGGAAATTTTCGGTGATTGAGCAGATTCAGAAGGGTTGAGAAAGTGGGGAGATGGGGGGGAAGCTGTCGACCTGGAGATTGAGATCGAGAAGTAGAGATCATCTACTTCAAGCCAGACAGTTGGAGGGATGAGGTTCGTGTCCAGGACTTCCAGGAGGACACGAATAGAACCGAGAGGGAGCATCTTGAGAGAAATCCAATGGATGGAAACCAAAAGTCCACATGCTTCTGCCACTCTCTTAAAGGTTCTTGTAGACCACGCGTGAAGAGGGATATGGTCTAGGGTAAGCCAAACTCTTTTTTTCCTAATGGATCCATCTTTGGGCGACCAGGCACGAAGGAGACAAGAGGCCCCTTTGAAGCTTCTTGTAAAACGCATTGAGCGTTATCTAGAGATGGGAAAGAGAAGAGGAAGTCGCCACTAGAAAAGCGTCTACAGGTTAGGTTGGGCTCCCCCCAAAGGCGTTGGGTCCATCTTCAATTTCTCTAATGTCATCTTGTCTGGGTTGGAACCTTCCAACCAGAGACCCAAAGAGATTAGATCTAAGTTTCACTGTCTCCTTGGGAGGGGTTGAAATACAGAAAGGGAGGAACGAGGAGCTGACTTTTGTACAACAGTTTCCACTCGGGGGCGAAGAGGATGTTTGAAGGGTGGTGGTTGTAGATTTCACAGAGGCTACAACCTGGGAGAATGAGGCTTTCAGGGGTGGTTTGTTATCGATATAATCGACTTGGGAGAGGGGGGGTGGGGGGGAGGAGGAAAGGCCGATATTGTTGGCTTGGGGGGGGGGGGGAGGGACATGGTGGCGGTGGATGGGTTTTGGGATACAAATCATAGATTTGGTTCCAGTTGAGGGGGTGTTGGGGATTCCTCCTTTGCATCTTTTGTCTATCAATGATGTTTTCTTTTAAAAAACAGAGTAAAATAAAAATAATAATAAAGGGTGAGAGAATATACCCTCGCTCAAGGTTTGCAAGGGAATCCACCCCAAAATATCTTTTCACAAGATCAACTCTTTACCGAATCACCAAATTCTCTCTTCTGTTTACAACGAGGGAGTTCTTCCCTTTAAATACACTCAGAAGAAAAATAAATAAATAAATAACCCGTAAAATATAAACTCTCTCTCTCTCTATTCTCCACGCAAATCGCTTCCTATCTTCTCTCTCTCTCTTTACGTCACGTGACACAAACTATATGTAAATGTCTTTCTCCGTCAATCTCATCATGAATACATGAATTTCGGAATCCCCCATGCCATCACCCACTTTCCTATTCTCTTCCTTTCACCTTTCCTACACCCATGCAACCTCTCATTAAAACCAAATCTATTACATCCTAACTAACCTAATCATCCTAATCCTTAACCATCTACTAAAAACTCACGCCACACCCACCTAGTTCCTAAAAAAATAGCCCATTAAAAAAATAATTTTTTTATTTATTTGCATCTGTCCAAAACAAGGAACATAATATACCATGTAGAAAACTTGTGCAATACTCGGGCAAGTATTGTAGCAACTTGCCCTAATACTGTAGAATTCGGGCATGACTCATTTGAGTTGCCATAGAACTCGGGCTAATTGCTACAGTTCTTGGGGGCGAGTTGCTATGATATTTGATTGTACATTGAAGTTTAAAGGAGGGTTAAAAATCTTCCCCCCCCCCCAGATTTAGGCCACTCTGAGCCTAAATTGCATCCTTCGCAGGATTTTAGCCTGAACTTGCGGTTCGAAAAGAATAGATTTGAGAAAAAAAAAGAGCATGGGTTTTCTTGATCCAAACTCAAAACCGAAAATTGGTTTGGGTGTTTTATTTGGGTTGCCTAAAGACGCTTTGAAAAAGATTAGAGGCATGGGTTCTCATCAAGCACGAAAATTGGGGATTGGCTTTGAATTTTTGGATATAGTTTAATTTTTTGTAATTTAAATTCATAAAAGTAATTACTTTTTATTAAATAAAATATAACTGATTTTATAACTCATTTTGTATATACTTTCACGTTTTTTATATGTTTTTATTTTTCTATTTTTTGAGATTCCTTTGTTTCAGATTTTTTATTGCTTTTATATTTTTTCATAGTTTTTATGGCTTTGCCTGAATAACTTTCATATTTTTTTGTGAATTTTTCAGATTTTTTTTTCAACATTTACATTTTTTCCCCCATTTTTTTGGCTTTTGTAAGGTCTCAGACTTTTCTAGACTAGTTTGAGTGGACTCTCCCAAGGGGCTCGGCTCGGGCAGGTGCCAAGTACATTGCCATAGCCATGGTCTAAAATTTTGCATTCACCTATTCAGTGATGGATTAATGCTGTAATAGTGCATAACTGGGGCCTTCCTAACATGCGGAGTAGCATTGGTGGCAATATGTAAGTGCTTCTAACAAAAAGAGTTATGCAACACTAATCAATGTTTCGTAAAGTGCGTGCACAAACCCTATCCTCTCTTCCCTTTCTATGGTCTTCTTAGACCGCTTCATCTTTGTACTTCACAGAATCCTCTCCTTTATTGTCTTTTCTGCACCCACATATGGGAATACCTTGATCCATAACCAATTCAACATCATTTCTTCCTTAATATAGTTTTTCCCAAAACAAATACTTGGCAAAAGCTGACTAGAATGATAGAAATTATGAAAATGTATATTATGAGACTATTTAATTTTGATACAAAGAGGTCACAAGCATCGTTGACCGTTAGATTTGAAACGGGTGATCGAGGATGTGTCATTGTCAAGTGCCCCATTCTACTGCTGTGCTACCAACCCACTGCAAAAACTGGAATTTGACTTCTTGGAGGGGGTTGGCGATGTAATTTTGCTTTTTTTGGGAGCCCTTGATGGCTATTTATTTTGGTTGTCTACTCGATAGCAGTAAGATATATGTCATCTTATTGTATCGTTATCTTATTCAATTGGCGTTTCAGTTATTCAATATTTTGTCATATGCTTGTCTTTCAGTTTCTATTTTGTCCTTGTTGTAATTAGGCATTAGATTATCTTGCGAATTTGATAATCTTTTTTGAGTCTTGAAATTTGTCGTAAAGTGATATTGTCAAGTTTTTTAGGCTCAAATCAATAGAAGGAAATGTCTATATGGCTTGACATAAAGAAATATTGATGTCTTTGTTTCAGTTTGAGTGATTAGAGAGTCATCGTGGATGTTCACCAGTTCTATTCAATGTTTGAACACTCAAACTTGCCCCATGACTCCTGAAGGTTTCTTCCAAATTTAAGGCATTATGGTGAAACTTGGCTGAGTTCTGTACTACTCGCTGGAATTTGCCAGGTTCCTAAGACAAGTTGCCTGGGCAAGTTTTAAAACATTTATCTTATTATTGCAGATTGTAGTTTCTAGTTAGCAGGGTGTGAGGGCTTGTACAAAAATCTTATTATCGCAGTCTGTTTTCCCTGGATTGGTTAGCAATTGATCTGTGCCATATAAGTGTGATGGTATAATGTATTTAACTTTGGTTGTCAGCTTTGGCAATTAATAGATGACTAATTTCACTGAGGACCCTTACAGGTTTGAAAATATAACTTTTTGGAGGACCGAGGAAGCTGCTGATGGACATACAAGAATGGAACATAGTACTGGATTGGTCCAAGCTGTCATTTTTGAAGCATCTGATCGAGATAATATTGGTGGTTCAGCTTACGGTGGGCAGAGGTCTATATGTTGCACTCCTGATCTTGCAAAGTTAGAAGGCTGCAGACAGGGGGAAGTCATTTGGCGACCTTCGGCTGGAGATCTCAATGGGCCGTACGTATTGAATGTCCAGTTCAGTGGAAATAATATATTTACCAAAATGCCAGTTAAAGAAGTTCTTATAAGAAAAACTGGGATGTATAACTTGTTCTTCATTTTCTGTGATCCAAAACTCAAAGGACTTATGATGACGGGGAAGACCTCCTGGAAAAATCCTACCGGTTATTTGCCAGGTAGGATGGCTCCGCTTATGACCTTCTACATGTTCATGTCGGTTGCATACTTACTTCTAGGTCTTATTTGGTTTTCTCAGTATGTGAGATTTTGGAAGGAGATATTGCAGATTCAAAACTGTATCACTCTTGTAATTGGTCTTGGTATGTTTGAAATGACCCTCTGGTACTTTGAATATGTAAACTTCAACGAAACTGGAATAAGGCCTATTGCAATCACAGTTTGGGTTGTAACAATTGGTGCAGTGAGGAAAACAATATCTCGCCTTCTTATTCTTTCTGTGTCAATGGGGTATGGAGTTGTTCGGCCTACTCTTGGGGGGCTCACCAAAAAGGTGCTCCTCCTTGGGGTGACATATTTCTTGGCCACTGAACTCCTGGATGTTGCAGAGAATGTTGGAACCATCAACGACATCTCTGGAAAAGCCAAACTTTTTCTTTTTCTCCCAGATGCTTTCCTGGATGCATTTTTGATATTGTGGATCTTCACTTCCCTTTCAAGGACACTGGAGAAACTACAGGTATCTTTGATGCTCTTCACTATTTGTTCTTCAAGCAATAGCAATTGATTTATAGTGGAAAAGTAATAAAGAATTACATTTGTGCATATATGAATGGGAGCTAGACAACAGGAGAGTAGTAGAGAGGAGAGAAGGAAAAAAATGGAAAGAGAAAGAGAGAGGAGAGAAGGAAAAAATGGAAAGAGGAAGAGAGAGGAGAGACCAGAGAGAGAGTGAGAGAGAGAGAGAGGAGGGAGGGAGGGAGGGAGGGAGGGAGGAGGGGGACAAAAATAATTCTTCAAATTTCATGAAGCACAGATGACCTAAAAGGTACCAATTTACATGCACACAAGCATGCACACGCACACACTCTCAAAACAAGGGGAAAAAAGGACATTTGTAATTAGATGCTTAGTTGTCAATGTATTGGATCTGTTTTCTTTGTTTTATTTTATTTTTTTTGCCTCTTATGGTAATTTTTATGATAGTCTTGATAAATTTGTGAGATGTGATGCTTAGTTCATCTGGTTTGCTTTTTAGGCAAGGCGGAGTTCAGCTAAGTTAGAAACTTACCGGAAATTTACAAATGCGTTAGCTGTTGCGGTGATCGCTTCTGTGGCTTGGATTGGTTATGAGGTTAGTGTTTCCACTTATATCAACCCTAAGTTTCCATTATTCTAGAAATTCTGCAACTTGTTAGTGGTGGAAACAAGGTTGATTTCTCCAAGAAATTGACAAAATTTCAATGGTTTTTGCATGGCACTTCTCCCTAGGCTTCAGTTAGTTTTTTGTCTTTTTTCACCATGTGAGTGCCCTAAACATGTATATACAATGTATATTGTACTATGTGGTCTATGCCATGTATATGGAAAATATACAATGTAGATTATCCTATATTGACCTTATCTCAAATAGGAAACTTAATATATCGCATTATACTTTATAATAGAAATATTAGATATGGATTTGTTTATAGGCTTGACTAGACTTGTTTATTAGGCTTTTGCTCAGCTTGTTATGATTGGCTTGGCTTGTTTGAAATAAACTGGTCAACCCAAGCATAGTGCAAGTTTGCCTCCCTCTTATCAAGCCAAACTCAAGCCGAGCTCAAGTTAGTCCTGCAGCCATGCATGCAGAGCGTGAACATCTACAAGCTCAGCACCTTGATACCTCTATATGGCATTTTTGCTTCTGCCATGACAATATGTTTTCCTGCCTCCATCTTCGCTCTTAGGAACTCCATCTTTGGAACATGTGCTGTATTATGATCTTGAGGCCATCCCATAGTTAAGGGAACCTTGTGGACAGGGCGACGATGCTGTTCCGGAACCTCGATCCCACAGTTCCTGCAAGGGATCTTGTCGGGACCCTTTTTTTCGATTTTTGGATCTCGCTCCTCAAAAAAGGGACCACGTTTCATCTATCAGTGGAATCCAGTTCCATTTTGAAATAGATCCCCGCTCCCATCAACCATAGTTCAAAGTTTTGATACATTAAAATCTTGGGTTCCATGTTTGTGGGTATAATTTCATTAACGGATGCTACCAGGTTAGAGATTGCCATTGTGTGTAATTCCCATTAATTAGGAATCTTGAGTTCGATGATGTTAAAACGCAGTCCCTTTTTCGCATAACACGAAGTTCTATTATTTTAGATTCTTGATTTGAACTAGGCATAGTCTAGAGTGACCCATTGTTTTATTAAGTCCTATTGTGTAAACTGTCCCTTTTAGTTGTGAGAATATATATTTCATTTAAAATTTTATATTTTTGTTGTCCTATTGTTTTAGAGTCTTAAATTTGATTACAATTGTGAAATGAGAATATATGTTTTCGTTCACTGTTCGAAAATTTGGCCACCTAGATGAAAAAATTCAAAAAACGCCTAGGCGCTGTCTGGGCGGGGTCATTATGTGCCCTATTTGTGTGCGGCCGCCTAGGCAGTCAAGGCGCTACTGTTTGGGTGCCCACCTAGGCACCCCCCTGTGACACTTTGTGAATGGGTGGAAGAAAAACCTTGGTGAGGGTCAAAAAATTTAATTTTTTTGGGGGAAAAGGGTTTTGGGGGTATTCTAAACCCCCAAAACAAAAACCATGGCCTTTAGGGTGAGAAAAACCCCAAAAACCATTCTTTTGTGATTTAACGAAAGAACGATAAATTTTTTATTTTTTCAATTTCTTCCCAAAACAAAAGCAATAGTTCGTGGGTGGATTTGGAGCTTCTAGTAGCTGATTTTGAGAAATTTTGATGATCCAATCGACGATGTTTGCACCGACATTGATTTGATTTTTGATATTTTTAAAGTATTATCATATTTGAAAGAGGGTTTTGATTTTATTTTGCTACAAAATATTATGTTGTGAATCATGTGTGTTTTCTTTTACTTTTTTTTTTTTTTTCTCTTACGATATATTTACATGTTTATAGGTAAAAGATTGATTTTTTTTTTGTGATTAATTGATTTTTTTCTCATTGGGACAATGAAATTGAGCATATATTGTATTCTTTTATGAATATTTGATTCCTTGTTTTTAAAATGTGCCATGTTTCGTTATTCTATTATTTTTGTTTTTTTTTATTTGATAAATAATTGATTATGTATTTATGTGATATGTTAATGAATTAAGTCTTAATTCTTAAGGTGAAACTAAGATCTTATATATTCATTTAAGTCTTATTGTAAAATAATATTAAGTTGTACTGTTTTGAAACTAACATCTTAATGATATCATATCATATATCTTATTTCTTAAATTCTTAATTATATGATATCTTAATGAGTAAAGTGTTATTGTAAAACTAACAAAGTATCATCTTAATTTTATATATTAGTTTAAAACTCATATCAAGGGGGGAGAGTGGGGGAGGGGGGGGGGGGCGCGGGGTTGAGGTGGGGCAATTTTTTTGAGGAATGTCAAAGTACGCTGTACCTGGGCAGGCGCCCGGCTGCCCAGGCACCCAAAACGCGTAGACGCCCTAATCTGCATTTTTGAACATTGATTCCAAGCGTTAGAAAGCTTCTTTTACGTCAGTCAGAGAGAGAGAGAGAGAGAGTAGTTCATCTCTTATCCTCTTGCCCCTTCGGAGAGCCAGCATTTGAGAAATAATGGAAGCAGATGAGGCTACATTCAAAGAAGATGACTCTTGAGTGGTAGGATTCTGGGTTGCAAGAGACTCAAAGGGAATGGTGCATGCAAGCTTGTGTCGTGGCCTGAAGATGTAGTGGTCATAAGAAAGGCCGACTTATAGAGCCACATATTAATCCATTGTTATTCACGCAAAAATAAACAAATCCATTGTTAAGGGCGAGGTGCATTTGATAAGGGATCCCTGGTAAATGGCACTTGCGAACCTGGGGGACAATCAGCTGAGAACCTTGATTTCTATATTTTAAGAATCTTGATATTAGAACCGAAAGAACCCCGTTATATGACATATTAAACCTCAATTCCTTGACCAAGGGAACTCGTACTAGCTCTACTTAAAACCTCTTTTTTTTCTTTATAGTGGAGCTTAGATTCCTGTTAACCAAAACATCAAACCCATTGACATCGGATCTCGCTCCCATAACCCTAAGGATATTGCTCCTTGTCTTGTTCATTGTACGGATGCCGATCCTAACCCTAGGGAGCTTCCACTATAGGGCGGTTTGGCAAATCCCATTCCTGATCCTACCTCCGACCACTATGGGCCCATCCTATACTTGTTTAGACTTGAGATCTCCCCACCAGCATCTTTCTTTTGCTCATAGGGATGAAGTGCACCGATCTGACAGTTTCCCTTTCCTTGATATATATATATATAGGGCAATGATTTCATACAACCGTTGTATAGTAATATGATGCAACAACCTTAAAAAATCATCTTATGGCCATTTGTTTGATCCAAAATTTGAAATTACACTCTTTTCATTCTAATGAACAATCACAAAAAAAAAAAAATTGAAAACACAACTTAAAAAGTATTTTTTTAGCCCAATTAATATAGGCCG